AAACAAGCTATATGAATGGTTGAATGTGAAGCTGATGATGTGCCCTGTAAACTTTCACTCAATCCAAAATAAAAACATTTAATTAAAAAAAAAATACCACAGCAAAATGATATCAGCAAATACATACTTATCAATATGTACAGTGAATGTATATGGATAAAACACACCAGTGGACAGACTGAGAGTAGCAAGATTGAATAAGAAAGCATGACCCATCAAGTTGGTTCCAACTCACTGGATCCTGGATAGGGTTTCCAAGGAGCAGTTGGTGAGTTTGAAACTCAGACCTTGTGGCTCAAACTGACCATGTGGTCTAGTGCCTATGCTACATGGGATTAAATTGAAAACGGCAACTCAAAAGATAAGACAGGAATCTTAGGGGACAGTGCATCTATATTAATAAGAGAAAAACAACTTAGAAAAGGAGGTGAGAAAACGTGCACAATTTGAAGAATATAATCAGTGCCAGTGAATTTGACATGTAGAAACTGTTGAATCAGTTTATGTTTTGCTGTACATAAAATCTTACATATAATCTTACATTTGCTGTACATAAAATCTTACAAATACATTTATATTTCACAATTTATATTTCTACAATAATTCAAGGAGTCAGCGTGGCAACCATAGCTATGTATCTAGCACCAGTGTGGGAGATTGTTGTTGTTATGTGCCATCGAGTCGGTTCCGACCCATAGCGACCCTGTATAGGGTTTCCGAGGGTGTAAATCTTTATGGGAGTAGAAAGCCTCATCTTTCTCCCGCGGAGCAGCTGGTAGTTTCGAACCACTGACCTTAAGGTTCGCAGCCCGATTCATAACCACTACGCTACCAGAGCTCCTTATAGTGTGGGAGATAGTGCATTGATTTTTTTTTTTTTTAGAGGAATACAGAGGATAAGGCTGAAAGATAAATTAAAGTCAGATGATGGAAGCAGTGTCTCAAGAAATTAATCCAGAAGTGTGTGTGTAGACTGGATCAGAGGAAGAAGAGATCAAAGCGAGGAGTCCACTTAAAAAGTGATTGTACTGTTGAATGATGATTTATGGAGGGGATTTCAATCATTGTAATGAAACAAAATACGATAGGATGAACATAAAATTGATGTTTTCCCATGTAAACTATCACTCAATTCACAACAAAAACTTTAAAGAAAAAAGATTGTACTAACATAAGAGTAAAACTGATAAGGATTTGAACTAGTGGAGAATGGAAGGTAAAGGATGGTTCTCAGAGACATTTTTAAGAAGAAACATAACAAATCTAATATTTTAAACCTGGTTGGTTGTGAGGTGAAATACCCATTATGATCCTGATGAAAACTACATGTGTAGCATTTATTCTTCAATCCTCTTTCCATAAAATATTGGTCCTTGAAAAAAAAAAAGGTAATAATATTTCTACTCACCTGGCACTTCTCTTCTTTCTCTTTTTCATTCTGGTCACAACTAAATCACAGGAAAAAAACATTAAAGTATAATAAAATCTGGTTTCCCATTTCTTTAACTCCCTAAAATCAGAGTCCATAAATTAGAGCTGTTAAAATTTAGGTTGGAATCTTACAACCCCCCATGGAAGATAGAGAGGAAATAAAAATAAGGAGACCCAGAACTAAAAAGATAAGGGAATTAAATAGGAATTGAAGCACACAGCACATTCTCTGCTCTCAACAGTAGGAAAATACATTTTGTTTCACCAGCCTAGAATAAGCTCTTGTTGTTGTTGTTGTTGTTGTTACATGCCGTCGAGTCGAAGAATAAGCTCTTAAAGGAGACAAATGTAGGACTATCCTATGCCGTCTCAAATCATAGTCCAATCATCTCTACAAAGAGAGGGTCATAATACATTTTAAAATGTAAATTGCTGCTTTGAGTAGACTCTACTTACTGGTCTCACATTCTTCATTGTCATTTGAGTCATATGTAAGACTGCAACTGTAAAAATAAAACATTTTTTTTTAAGTTAGACTATTAACATAATAAGCAACCAAATGTCAAAAATCTCAAATAAATGAAGAGAACAATCAAGAGCTTCTGAAATACAAAAAGGTTTTAAGTGTTTATGAAATTAGGAGGACAATATATGAGGTGAAGAAAAATTAGAAGCAACATGCTACTCAGTCCTTACTGCTGAATCAAAGAGAAAACTGTTAGCTGATCATTACCAACAAAAAATCTATGTTTTTTGCCTGGTGATTTATTTCTATTTAAGGATATGAAAGTAAATTCTGAGACAAGCTACAGGGGGAAGAACTTTAAGCTGAAGAGATTGCTGTTAAAGTTAAAAGTCTAGGCAAGGTTAGCTTTTAGGTTTACTTGAAGAAGCCCTACTTTGTTGGGATAGCTAAGTCAATGGACAATACTGAAGTCCATTTCAAATAGGGAGCAAAGTAAAGACTACTTTCAAAGCTGAACTAAACCTTGATACTAGGGCCTCATGCTTCTCGGCCTCTTAATCTATCAAAGGCCTCAGCACTCATTCTTCACTGCCTTGTGTGTTGTTATAGTTATCAAAGCATATGACTGCTCAGGAATCCAGCTCCTGGAGAGCAGCCCACTCAACACACCTGTCAGCCATCCATTACACAGATCCAGAATCCAGCTCCAAGAATTCAGGCTTCAGTAGCATCATTCTCTGCTGGGAGACTGGCTATATTCTAGGACCTAATCATATGCACTTTTGACATCAGTTATTGTGATATACAGCTCTGATTATGCCAAAAGTGCTAAAAAGGGTGTACATAATAGCAATTAAGTAGACGAAGTTTCACAGATAAAGGCCACTTATTCAAGACTTTTAATTTGGTATAGAGGTTGATAACTGTATACTTCTTGCCTTTCCATATACCCCATTGTTTAAATGTCCTATTCATTAATCAATCACTGTGAACTGAACTTATTCAGTAGTAATTTTGCTGTTGCTTTAATCAGCAGGGGAAAAAAACTCTTCCTGAGCATGGCTTTTGTGATAGTTACGAGCCATAGAGTCGGTTTCAACTCATAGCAACTCTGTATACGGTTTCCAAGAGTGGTAGAGGGTTTGAACTGCGAACTGTGCAGTTAGCAGTCCAGTGCTTATCCTACAGCTCCACACCAGGACTCCTACATGGACTTTGTTGTTGTTAAGTACCGTCGAATGGGTTCTAACGCACAGTAACCATATATAGTTTCCAAGGAGCAGCTGGAGGGATTGAACTACAAACCTTATAGATAGCAGCACATGACCTTGTTGTTGTTATGTGCCGTGGAATCGGTTGCGACTCATAGCGACCCTGTACAGGGTTTCTGAGACTGTAAATCTTTACAGGCGCAGAAAGCCTCATCTTGCTCCCACGGAACAGCTGGTAGTTTTGAACTGCTGACCCTGAGATTACCAGCCCAATTCGTAACCAACATGGCCTTGGGCATATTAAAATCTACTATTAAGGAGCCCTGGTAGCATAGTGGTTGCTAATCGGGCTGTGAACCGCAAGGTCAGCAGTTCGAAACTACCAGCTGTTCCGCGGGAGAAAGATGAGGCTTTCTGCTCCCGTAAAGATTTACAGCCTCGGAAACCCTGTACAGGGTCACTATGAGTCGGAACTGACTCCACGGCACATAACAACAATAAAGGATATTAGCATAATTTCAGGTGGCTCTACCTAATTTCTACTATGACTATATAAGAAAATTAGCAATTTTGTCTTGAAAGCATCAATGTAATGTGGGTTTCAGCTACTCACCTACATAAAAGGCAAGCGTCCTTTCTGTCTTTGCACTCTCTTTAGCAGATTACAGACAGTTCCAAGACTGCAAACAAGCTCCCTTCCTAAACAACTTCTTTTTTAATCTTTTAATTATGAATTGAATAAAGGTTTGCAGTAGACTGTCAGTTCTACATTCAATGAATCACATACTTTGCTTCATTACATGATTATAATCCCCTCCATTAATAAGTTAACAGCATTTACTACAATATGTCTCCCACCACTCTCATGCTTCCTTCTTGTTGTATGTTGCCTGCCCTGTCTCCCATCTTAACATGTCTACCTTCTAGCACATGAGTAAATTTCCCTACCCCCTACCCATAATAGAAGTTTTTATTGTGAATTGGGTGATAGCTTACATGGGAGAACACCAGCTTTACATTCATCCTATGGTATTTCGTTTCATTACAATGACTACAATCCCCTCCATGTATCATCCTTCAACAACATTTGCTTCTATTCCCTCTGGTTGTTGTTTTTTGGATGTACATGGAAGCACTCAGGAATATACAACCATTCAAACAACCAAAGGGCACAGCCTGAAAGCCTGCCACCCGGCCATCAGCACACAGCCCCTCTTCCTCCTTGAGTCCAGAGTCCCCAGCCGCTCCATCTCTCCCCGTCACTGTCTCTGCCTCCATCTCTGGTGTCATTGCTTCTCTGGATAGGGTCCCGCACTCCATTCTTCCCCCTTGATGGTCCCAGGGTCCACTGCTCCTGGACTGCACTCCCCTCCTTTTGTTACAAAACGTCTACCTTTACATTTGCAACACTCACAATCAGTCCTGATAGCAATTATTCACTATTGAACCACAAGAGTCTTACCCCCATCTCCTTTTACCAGCCCTGTCCAGACAGGTTGGAAACCATTCAGTGGAGAGTCTACCTTTCCCGACACCCTCGGAAACTAGGTTCCCTCTTGAAAGCTTGTAAGCCAGTCACTTCGTGCCTCTGTAGCTCTCCTATTTTGGGTAGCCAATGTCTAAGTTGCCCATCCCTGTCAATCCTGTGTACCAAGGGGATGGGAATGATCCTCGCTATAACAATTCGTTCTCTTTTGAGCTATGACATCCGTAAGTATAGGTTAAGTTCATCAAATTGTATCAGATTATTCTTCTCCCCCCACACCCCTTCTTTCTTCCTCTAGTCAAGTTCTAATCATCCAGTCATTGAAGCCAGGTCAAATGGGTAGTATCTGCAGGTATGGGTGTTCTTGTGCATCTCCCCTCACTTCCAATCAGGTGGACGCTTCACTCTCTGCTCTAGTCCTCTGTGGCCATGTCCCTGTTCCTGGGCCCAGGAATCCCCAGGTCTCACCATACTGCTGGACAACCAAGTCTCAATCCAGGTTGACAGGATTGAACGTGGTCGGATTTAGCTTATAACTTCATTGCTGTTTTTTCCCCACTTCCCTTTATTGGTAGACCGACTACAAGACGACATGCCGTCTCAGTCTTGGAAGGAGGTTTGCCCTGAGGGCATCCAACTGCTTGCCTTGATAGCTCCCCAAAGAACTTGCTTGTTGTTGTAGTAGTCAATCAGACTGCCGTTGTTTTTTATTTTTCCTGGTGGTCTTTCTTTCAAGCTGTTCTTCTAGCAACTCCAGGCTGGTCTGCTTGTCCTTTCAAGTGAAAATTTCTCACCTCAGAAGATTCTGGATGGGGATCCAGATTCCACTTATGGTCTTATGAGGTGCAAAGACTCCGCAGGAAGCTTCCTTCCCTGGGCAAGTTCTAGCCCCATTTTTAAGTATTCCAATCAGTTATAGGCTTAAGGAGGCCTTACAAGCTTTTTATGGTGATGTCAAGAAAACAACTTATTATGTTGGTCTCAAATAATGTTTGCCCTTTTGCGATTGACTAATTTCACTCAGTTATAATGCTGTTCAGGTTCAACAATGTTGTGAGGTATTTCACTGGTTCATCATTATTCTTCAAGGTTTTGTAGTATTCCATTGTATGCATGTACCGAAGTTTATCCATCTTTTTTATAGGTCATTTGTAGACAGCATATTGAAGGATCCTGTTTTCTTATCCAATCTGTTCTTTATGTCTCTTCACTGGTACATTAAATCCATTTACATTCAGTATAATTATCAATAGGTATGAATTGTTTTCATTTCTGAGTGTTTTTCTGGTGCTGGATTGTTTGTTTCACATAATTATCTATGCTGACTTCATTTTGTCTGTGGGTTTTGTTTTTTTTTGTCATTATTGTTGTTAATATGTTTACTAAATCTGTATGGTTTTATTTTGATATGCAAGTGTGCTATTTTTCTTTGAGGTTACTGTATAATTTATTAATTTTCCCCACACCTAAAAGTCTGCTTTATCTTAAAATCTACTTGACTTCCTTACAATTTGGAAGTTCCATATCTACACTATTTCCTCTTTTTGCATTGTGTATTAATATCTTTTTGCATTATACATTATTATCTCTGGTTCCCTATTTTCAGTCTTGTAGATTTGTTTTAAATATTTCCATATCTGGATTAAGTTCTGAGTGTTGTCATGTATGGTAATCTCAGGTGGTTGTCTACTGTTGTTATCACTCCAAAGAACACCGTTTAGCATTTTTTTGTAAAGTTGGTCTGGTCATTACAAATTGCTTTAATTTCTGTTTATCAGAAATTAATAACTTCACCATATTTGAGGGACAGTTTTGCTGAGTTTATGATTCTTCGTTGGCTTTTTTTTTTCTTTT